GAGTGCACATGGAACATTCTCCAGAATAGATCACATACTGGGTCACAAGTCAGCCTTCAACAAGTACAAAAATATCATACCATGCATATTTTCAGATCACAACACTAAGAAACTTGAAGTCAAACACACAAAAAATTCTGGGAAGACCAAAAATACAGGGAGGTTGAAGAACATTCTACTAAAGAATGAATGGGTCAACCAGGAAATTAAAGAGGAAATTTTTAAAAAATATATGGAAGCAAAAGAAAATGAAAACATGACAATCCAAAACCTTTGGGATGCAACAAAGGTGGTCATAAGAGGGAATTATATAGTGTTGCAGGCCTTCCTCAAGAAACAAGAAAAGTCCCAAATACACAACCTAATTTTACACTTAAAGGAGCCAAAAAAGAACTACAAATAAAGCCTAAAACCAGCAGAAGAAAGGAAATAATAAAGATTAGAGCAGAAATATATGATATATAAATTAAAAAATAGCACAGATCAATGAAAGTAGGACCTGGTTCTTCGAAAGATTTAAAAATTGCTCATTTTCATTGATAAACCACTAGCCAGACTCATCAAAAAGAGAAAGGACTTAAATAAATAAAATCACGAATGAAAGAGAGATCATAACCAACACCACAGAAATACAATTATAAGATAATATTAAGAAAAAATTATATGCCAACAAATTGGGCATTCTGAAGAAAAGGATAAATTCCTAGAAACACATAAACTACCAAAACTGACTAAAATTAAGAAGACAGGGAACAACAAATGTTGGTGAGGATGTAGAGAAAGGGGAACCCTCTTGAACTGTTGGTGGGAATGCAAGTTGGTACAGCCAGTCTGGAAAACAGTATGGAGGTTCCTCAAGAAGTTCAAAATAGAGCTACCCTATGACCCAGCAATTGCACTCCTGGGTATTTACCCCAAAGATACATATGTAGTGAAATGAAGGGGCACCTGCACCCTAATGTCCATAGCAGCAATGTCTACAATAACCAAACTGTGGAAGGAGCCGAGATGTCCTTCAACAGATGAATGGATAAAGATGATGTGGTTCATATATACAATGGAATATTACTCAACCATCAGAAAGGATGAATACCTACTATTTACATTGACATGGATGGAACTGGAGGGGATTATGCTAAGTGAAATAAGTCAATCAGAGAAAGACAATTATCATATGGTTTTACTCATATGTGGAACATAAGGAATAATGCAGAGAACCATAGAGGAAGGGAGGGAAACCTGAATGGGAAGAAATCAGAGAGGGAGACAAACCATGAAAGACTCTGGACTCTGGGAAAAAAAACTGAGGGTTGCTGAAGGGGAGGTAGGTGGGGGATGGGGCAACTGGGGGACGGGCATTAAAGATGGCATGTGATGTCATCAAAATACCATCCACTTTTTTCAAAGAAATGGAACAAATAATCCTACAATTTGTATGGAACCAGAAGAGATCCCAAAGAACCAGAGGAATGTTGAAAAAGAAAAGCAAAGCTGGCGGCATCACAATTCTGGACTTCCGGCTTTATTACAAAGCTGTCATCATCAAGACAGTATGGTACTGGCACAAAAACAGACACATAGATCAATGGAACAGAATAGAGAGCCCAGATATGGACCCTCAACTCTATGGTCAACTCATCTTTGACAAAGCAGGAAAGAATGTCCAATGGAAAAAAGACAGTCTCTTCAACAAATGGTGTTGGGAAAATTGGACAGCCACATGCAGAAGAATGAAACTGGACCACTGCCTTACACCATACACAAAAATAGACTCCCAATGGTTGAAAGACCTAAACGTGAGAGAGGAGTCCATCAACATCCTAAAGGAGAACACAGGCAGCAACCTCTTCGACCTCAGCCGCAGCAACTTCTTCCTAGAAACATCGCCAAAGGCAAGGGAAGCAAGGGCAAAAATGAACTCTTGGGACTTCATCAAGATAAAAAGCTTTTACACAGCAAAAGAAACAGTCCACAAAACCAAAAGACAACCGACAGAATGGGAGAAAATATTTGCAAATGACATATCAGATAAAGGGCTAGTAGTATCCAAAATCTATAAAGAACTTATCAAACTCAACACCCAAAGAACAAAGAATCCAATCGAGAAATGGGCAGAAGACATGAACAGACATTTCTCCAAAGAAGACATCCAAATGGCCAACAGGCACATGAAAAAGTGCTCAACATCGCTCGGCATCAGGGAAATCCAAATCAAAACCTCAAAGAGATACCACCTCACACCAGTCAGAATGGCTAGAATTAACAAGTCAGGGAACGACAGATGTTGGCGGGGATGTGGAGAAAGGGGAACCCTCCTACACTGTTGGTGGGAATGCAAGCTGGTGCAACCACTCTGGAAAACAGTATGGAGGTTCCTCAAACAGTTGAAAATAGAGCTACCATACGATCCAGCAATTGCACTACTGGGTATTTACCCCAAAGATACAAATGTAGGGATCCGAAGGGGTACATGCACCCCAATGTTTATAGCAGCAATGTCCGCAATAGCCAAACTGTGGAAAGAGCCAAGATGTCCATTGACAGATGAATGGATAAAGAAGATGTGGTATATATATACAATGGAATATTATGCAGCCATCAAAAGGAATGAGATCTTGCCATTTGCAATGACGTGGATAGAACTGGAGGGTGTTATGCTGAGTGAAATAAGTCAATCAGAGAAAGACATGTATCATATGACCTCACTGATATGAGGAATTCTTAATCTCAGGAAACAAACTGAGGGTTGCTAGAGTGGTGGGGGGTGGGAGGGAGGGGGTGGCTGGGTGATAGACAGTGGGGAGGGTATGTGCTATGGTGAGTGCTGTGAATTGTGCAATACTGTTGAATCACAGATCTGTACCTCTGAAACAAATAATGCAATATATGTTAAGAAAAAAAAAGAAGATAGCAGGAGGGGGAGAATGAAGGGGGGGAAATTGGAGGAGGAGATGAACCATGAGAAACAATGGACTCTGAAAAACAAACTGAGGGTTCTAGAGGGGAGGGGGGTGGGGGGATGGGTTAGCCTGGTGATGGGTATTAAAGAGGGCACGTTCTGCGTGGAGCACTGGGTGTTATGCACAAACAATGAATCATGGAACACTACATTAAAAACTAATGATGTAATGTATGGTGATTAACATAACAATAAAAAATGAAAAAAAGAAAAGAAAAAAAACCCTCAACAAATAGGGATAGAACAACATACCTCAACATCATAAAGGCCATATATGAAAGACCCACAGCAAATATCATCCTCAGTGGGAAAAAAAACTGAGAGCTTTTCACCTACAAGTAGGAAAAAGACAAGGATGCCCACTCTTACCATTACTATTTAACATAGTACTGGAAGTCTTAGCCTCAGCAATCAGACAACAAAAAGAAATAAAAGGCATCCAAATAGGCAAGGAAGAAGTCAAATTTTCACTCTTTGTAGACGACACAATACTCTGTAGAAAACCCAAAAGACTCCACCAAAAAATTGCTAGAATACATGAATTCAGCAAAATTGCAGGATACAAAATCAATGTGCAGAAATCTGTTTCATTTCTATACACCAATAATGAAGCAGCAGAAAAAGAAATCAAGGAATCAATCCCATTTGCAATGGCACCAAAAACAGTAAGATACATAGGAATAAACCCAACCAAAGAGTTAAGAGATCTGTACACTGAAAACTAATGAACACTTATGACAGAAATTGAAGAGGACACAAAGAAATAGAAAAACATTTCATGCTCATAGGGTAGAAGAACAAACATTGTTAAAATGTCTATACTACCCAAAGCAATCTACACATTTAATGCAATCCCTATGAAAATACCACCAGCATTTTTCACAGAGCTAGAACAAAACATCCTAAAATTTGTATGGAACCATGAAAGTCCTGGAATAGCCAAAACAATTCTGAAAAAGAAAAACAAAACTGGCAGCATCACAATTCCGGACTTCAAGCTCTATTACAAAGCTGTAATCATCAAGACAGTATGGTACTAGCACAAAAACAGACACATAGATCAATGCAACAGAACAGAACAGATGACCCAGAAATGGACCCACAACTATATGATCAACTAATCTTTGACAAAGCAGGAAAGACTATCCAGTGGAAAAAAGACAGTGTCTTCTGGTGTTGGGAAAACTGGACAGCAACATGCAGAACAAAACTGAACCATTTTCTTACACCATACACTAAAATAAACTCAAAATGGTTGAAAGACCTAAATGTGAGACAGGAAACCATTAAAATCCTAGAGGAGAACAAAGGCATCATCCTCTTTGACTTTGGCTGTAGCAACTTCTTACTAGACACATCACCGGAAGCAAGGGAAACAAAAGCAAAAATGAACTATTGGGACTTCATCAAGATAAAAGGCTTTGCACAGTGAAGGATTAGTTTTGTAAATTAATTTCTTTGTTCTAAGAAAAAGCACATTGAAGTATTTAGGGACAAAGGGGTATGATATCGGCAACTAGTTCTCAAATGGTTCAGGAAAAAATTAAATTCATACATCTGCATACTTGCCATTTCAGTACAGCCCATCATATATTATAATGCATTTATCTCATTGTGATCATATTGCTGATCATACTAAACTAATGGCCAACTAAGATCTCACCTAGCCAGCAGGTTGCTCCTAACTGGAATTTCAGGCTGATATGTGCTCAGGGTTTTGAAAACAAAAGCATGCTTCCCAGATATGCCTGGGCCACACCTCCTGTTCAGGCGGGGATTGGTATTTTGTTACCAGAAATGGGTTTGGCCAAATATTGTGGTATAATACCCTATATGCATTTAGCTAAGTAAAATTCAGAATTTTCCAAAACCATACCAGAGAGATTGACCATAAAATGAAGGGTTAGAACTAATTTCTAGTGCTCAGAAGGATGAAACCCAACTTTGCACTAAACTCACTGGTCAGTAGAGTGCTGAAGTTACCTTAAGAATCTTTTTAGATGACAATAATCAAGAAAAGGATCTTAAAATAGTAACTGACCTCCAAGCCCAGGTCGTAGTCGGTTATCATAGCCATCCAGAAGACGGTCTAAAATTCTGGTGAATATGGTGATGTTGTCAGTGCTGTCATCAGGAATATCTGGGGCATGCTTAGGAGAGAGTCTGAGACAGTGGAAGAAAAAGATAAAAAATAATATTCTTCATAGGAAACAATTACATGTGTAATTACTTTAAGAAGATTTCAATCAATAGAGTGGGCCAAATAAATAGCCCTGTATCTTAACCAAATCAGCACTTCCTATTCATCACAATGATTATCTGTGTAAAAGGCAGGTGGTGGTCACTATACTTGAGGCCTTACTCCAGCTTTGTCAAGAGGTTAACCAAATGTGCTCCAGCTCCAGCCCAGTAGTGAAGAAACACAAGCAGAAATTAACAGAATGTGCCTGTGAACAGTACCCGTCATAAAGTTATTCACCAAGGGGCACCTGGGTGGCACAGTCGGTTAAGTGTCCAACTCTTGGTTTCAGCTCAGGTCGCAATCTCAGGGTCATGAGATTGAGTCCCGGGTTGGACTCCATGCTCAGCATGAAGTCTCCTTAGGACTCTCTCTCCTTTGCCCCCCCCCCACAAAATAAATAAATACATCTTTATAAAGAAGCTATTCACCAAATTTTGCTGCATGAATGAACAGTCCACAAAATTTAAAAAAGAAAATTGTGTTACAAAGAACTTATCCCTCTTCTAGCCTAGAGAAGCATAGGCTCACAGAACAACAGAGCCAGATTGTTGAAGTGCATTTAGTCTACCTACCTCCCACCTATGGAGATAGGGCAACAAAACAATAGTATTCCATTAAATGTAAAGCTACCAGGACTCTTAGGAGATTCTCTAATTTTTCTCATTTTATACATGGGGAAATAAGCTCGAAGAGGACACCACCAAATTTGCCCCCCATCATATTGCTAGTGAGAGGCTAAAATAGGACTGGAATCCAAGTTTTCTAATTTTCTATTGACCCTCAGCTACCTCCTGATTATCCAGTTTGGATGCCTTCTGTAAGTCTTTCCAAGCACTAGGCACTTTAATAACCACCTACTCAGGTCCAGGCTGACTGATATTTTCACTTTGTGAGGAGGGGCTTGTTGTGGTTTCACAGGACTAAAAATGAAACTCTCTGCGTAATTTAGGAGAAAAGAGGGTATAGTGAAACAGATGGCTGTTGCCAAGGATCAAGAAACATAGTGTGGAATCAATTAATAAACTAGGAGTCAGGAATCCTGGGTTCTACTGCCAGCTCTATTCATGATTTGAAGTAGACCATTAAGCAAGTTACACTATTGCATCTCTATTCTTACCTTGGACCCAGAGGGTTTCCATTAATAGATATAACTGTTCCTAGCAACCAGTTAGTCAAGTCTATAAAAAACATAAAATAACAGTTGAGAAGGAGTCCTAAGAGTCAATATGTCTTCCCACAAATATTTATTCTTAGTGGCTACAAAGGTTCCTTTTATGAGAAAAGTCTACATAATAAAAACATCAAAAGTGAACAGTTCTCACTCTAAACTGCCACTCCAGCAGATAACCTTGGAAAAGTCGTTTTAGATCTCAATTTCCTTAATTCATAAGCCTAATTCAATTCACTTAATCATTCAATACATCTTTATTGAACATCAACTATGTGCCTCTGTTTAGGTATTGTGATAGAGCATAAAAAAGGTAAAACAAGGTGAGTAATCTTTCCTTGCTTACAGGGTTGCTGAGACAATCAAATGATAACATAGATATACATGGAAGGAAAAAGGGAACTTGGCTTAAAGAGTCTAGACACATACATTTGAATTTATTAGTGTGACCTTAGGCAAGTCATATAACACCTCTAGTAATAGCTTTCTCATCTTTAAAATTAAAATAATTATTTTAATTTTAAAATAAAATTTGGCTATCACAGATGGGTTGTATTAATATTAATAATATATTAAAATTGCCAGGCTTAATGTTTAATATCTGGAAGTATTCAGTTTGTTTTTTTTTCCTTTTCTGAAATAGTACTGTATGCACTTGACTGCATTATTCAAATGCAAATAGTAACAAAAAATATTGGCACCCCCATCAGCCAAAAGACAAAGAAAACTTTGGCCAGAGAGGCACTAGAACCCAGTGAAGAATAGAGATGATTGGCTGGGTTAGTGGACAGAGCACTAGAAGTGATACAGATACCTCACTGGGGAAGGGGAAGAAAGGAGGGAACTACACTGCAGAGCTAACAAACTGACATTAACATGTTGAAGAGATAAATACAGACACCCTTCAGGTGAAGCCCACACTTAGCTCAATCCGCCAATATTCTGAATCCACCTTACATAGGCTGTGGAGAGAGAGGCTCAACTGATTTTGTTCACACCACTTACTCATTATCCCTTAACTTTCACTGTGGGGACCCTTAGCCCTGGTTAGCCTGATTCAATTTCTGGGATATAGATCTATAAATTCCTTGATTATTGAAAGCAGATAGAAAGGAGAATCCTCACAGAGTTATAGATTAGCTATAAAGGGCTTCAGAGATTGTATTCACTCCAGGTGGATTGATAGATGGGAATTCTAAACCCCCTGAACATAATTTTTTAACTGCCCTGAATGTTAATGGGAAGCTAAAATTTGGAACTAGAATTATTGAATATAAGATATACTATATACTATGCCACCTCTTTTACTGAAATACTAACTTCCATGACTGCATTTCCATTCCTTGCTGATGTGTTGATTATGCTAGCAGCATTCTACACTAATAACTTATAAACTTTTAAGTAAAAAAAGTCAATGCTATTAAATATCACTCCAAAACAACTTTCAATAGGTTTCTCTGTGATTTTGCACTTGGCTACTAATCATTTTTTCTCCTGATGTGCACTAAACTATTGTATGGAGAGTTAGAAGGTTTACTCTAGAACCCAAGTCAGAATTCTCTCTTCTTCAGTAATTCAACTGCAACAAGATGAAAATTCTGTAGTTTGTTCCAATCCAAAGTAGTTTAGGGGAACAACAAAGACTCATGGTATGTCAGGATTGTGGAGAGCCTTAGAGATCATACAATTATTTTTTCCCACTTTACAGATGAAGCACCTAAGACACTGGTAAGAGAAAGAAATTGTTCAAAGTCACATGCTTATTAAGTTGATAAAACTGATGCAGCCATGCCTATTTTGCCTCATATCTGTTATTACCAATTAGGTTTAATATTAATAATCTACCATTTAAACATGAAAATAATGTTACTAATATGCTATGTATAGGTAAGGCAGGCTTAGTCATTTTTTAGATCTAAAGATGGAATAGTACTAAGTCCATAGAAAATGAACAGAGTTTTAGTCCTGGCTCTGCCATTAACTGATTGTGTGACCTATTTCCTTACATGTAAAATGGGGATAATAATATCCTATCTTAGAACGTTTTTGGAAGAAATAAGTAAATAAGATAACAAATAAAAATTTGCTTCATAAATGGTAAAGCTCCATATACACTGAGGTTGTTTCTCTGCCATCCCCACCAACTTCTAAAATGTAATGAGACACTTTTGCAAGACAGGCACTTTTTATTTAGTTATTTTTCTGAAGTTTTGTCTTGTTCTTTCAGTTGGAGCATATTCCTCTGTCTCCTCATTTTGCTTGACTTTCTGTGTTTGTGTCTATAAATTAGGTGGAATAGCTACTTCTCCTAAATTTGAAGGAATGTCCTTGGGTAGGGATGTCCCCTTTATAGACTGCATGGGCCTGATGGCTTTGGCTGGCTGGCTGGTGCTCTAGGAAGTGTAGGCTGGGGATTGCAGGGCACTCTGAGCTAGGGCCACCCTGGTAGGGTATCCGGAACTGAAGTGGGCATGAACCAGAGGGGAGTCCTGTGGCTCTCCATACAGATGGCACCCTGGCAAGACAGCTGAAGTGGGAGTAAGCTGGGGGGAGGGTTTCTCAGGGCATTCCATACAAAGGGCACCCTGGCAAGATGGTTGGAGCTGAAGTGGGCATGGGCCTAAGTGAAATAAGTCAGACAGAGAAAGACAAATATCATATGATTTCATTTATATATGAAATCTAATGAAAAACAAGTGAACAAACAAAAAAACAGAAACAGAACCATAAATACAGAGAACAAACTTGTGGTTGCGGGGGGGAAGGGGTGTGGGGATGGAAAAAATAGGTGAAGGAGGTTAAGAGGTACATACTTGCAGTTATAAAATGAATAAGTCATGGGGATAAAAAGTACAGCATAGGGAATATAATCAATAACATTGTAATAATATTACATGGTGACAAATGGTAACTATACTTATCCTGGTGAGCACAGCTTAATGTATAGAACTGTCAAATCACTATGTTGTACACCTGAAACTAATATAACATTGTACGCCAACTATATTTCAAATTAAAAATGTATAATTAAACCTTAGTCTTTTAAAAAAATAATTTCTGTTCAAGGAAATATACCTCAAATGTATTAATATAAAAAAAGAAATACAGGCACTTCTATGCTATGGGGCAATATTAAAATCATTAAACATCCTGGAATTAAACCCAGCATAGTGGTAGTAACAACATTATTTCAACTACATTGAGGTCCTAGGTATATTTATGTTGGGGGGGGAACAGGAGAGGCACAGATGGAGCTGCTGATACAGTTCATACAACAACCCAAAGAGAAGAGAAATTTACTTCATTAAAAGGATGTCATTGTCCCTAATACTGTATATCTTCTGGGAAAGAACAGATTTTTAAAAATAAAACAAATTTAAGGAGATAAGATGGTGGAGGAGTAGGGAATCCTAAGTTCATCTGGTCCCTTGAATTCAGCTAGTTATCAAATCATTCTGAACACCTGAAAATCAATTGGAGATCTGAGAAAACAAAAGCTGCAATTCTACAAATAGAAAAGCGACCACTTTTTGGAAGGTAGGAGGTGCAGAGACTTGAATCCGGAGTGCTATGTCAGAGGATATGGTGGAGGGGAAGGAGCCAGTTTAAGGAGGCTACTGCAAAGTATTATAAACAACATAGTACAAAATTGGAACTTTTAGAAGTCAGCTACAGTGGAGGACATCCATAGCTTAAAGGTGCTCAGGTGGTGAAGTGGAGTGGAATCCCACATATAACAGTGTGGTCTCAGGA